TTTTATTACATTTAAATAGTAATAAAGCTCTCTTAATTAATAAATTAAAATCATTCAGACAGGCGTAGAGATCATTATTAGTCGCGAATTATACAGATTAAATAATAGTAAACATTAATAGGTTGAAAATTCAGTTTTAATAATACAGATGTTTAGACAATTTAAGAGCGACTTATATTTAAGTCACCTTCAGCGGACTGAATTTTCAATCTATTAATGTTTACTATTATTTAATCCGCATAATTCGCGACTAATAATGATCTCCATGCCTGTCTGAATGATTTGAATTTATTATATTTGTTTATATCTGTATTTTTAATATTCCAAGAGATTCCCCTCAAGAGCTTCTCCTCCCCAGTCATGTATCACGCGTTCGAATGCCATGCTATTCTTGTCAAACTAGTCGTGGATTCATAGCACACCGTCTCGCCCACTATTGAAAGTGAGATTGAAATCGTGCGTTGGTCGCTGACCAGGTTACCTTGGTATTCATGTCGCTCTCGCAAGATAGTTAATTACTTACGACACCCGTATCGTCCAGATTGACACGGGCATTCATCGAGTGCCGGCAGAGTCTTCGTTATCTCGAGCGTAATTAAAAAATCCTTAATAATCAACGTAAATCACTTATGTGGAAATCGCGTGAATAAAGGTGCGTCGCTAAAAAACGAGGATGCAACCCGGAGAAAGCGGCGAGATCAAGCGCATTTATGGATTCGCGACGCCCTTTTTTTCTCGCGAAACGTTGACGGATCATCAATCGTCGTCGCGGAATCTCGTTGCTGGCGCAATATCACTTGTCGGTGTCGTTAAACGAGCACTCGCCGGGGGCAATCGTAATTCCGACGACGGGAAAAACCTTTTGGGCATTAGCGGGGAGGTCCGGCTGCACGGCATGAATGGAGGAATTGTTCTTGCGAAACGAGCATAATCCCCGAGGGATTTCTCCTCTCGCGAATCGCGCGAGAAAACGAGCTCAAGGTAGCCGCCGCCTATGCAACCGCGATTATGCAGCTGCGTACGTGGAAGTCGATCGCCAGGTGCGCTCACGATCTACTCCCTTGCGGTTGTCCGCGTGCCTTCGAATATTAGAGACGTTGGGAGTAACAATATTATGCGACCACGGAAAGCTATGCGAAAATTATGCGTGGATTATGTAACTCGAGAGTAAGAGAAATGACTCGCTGTCAAACACCTCGCCGACGTTTTCGCAATTTTATCCAACATTTACGCGATCCTGTATATTTCTTCAGCAATTCTCAGATTCATTGAACAAAATATATACGAATCAATTTATTCTATTTATTAGAAACTTATCCTCTCTAGATTTAAGGATTTTGTATGTACAATCTCAGCAAAAAGTAGCTCAACGAATATCCACTTTTGGTGTATTTTGAGAAATTGTGTGGAATATTACAATTTGATCTTAGATACAGTGCAGAGATGTATTTTTTAATATTTATTGCGTTTTTATTGAAATATTCCGAAGTTTGTTAATCGAAATGATTAACTTTTGGTAGAGAATTTCGCCTTGTGAGAGATACATGGCTAACTTCATTGAATTATATTTAATATCTTTTTAATCAGTTAGTACTTGTATAATATTATTTGATCAAATATTTCCTCTGTATCTAAACTTTTGCAAATTTTAAACAAATTCTGAATATTATTTCCATGTGTTTTTGTCATTTGAATCGACGTGGTTGTACGTTTCCCATAAGAACACATGTTAATTCGGTGAAAATTAAAATCCTTATAACTTGTGAATGCTTTAGTGAATCGATATAAAAATTGTACTGAAGATTCTAAACATATGTAAGGACATTCTGTACAATTTTCATCAAATTCTCAATATTTTCAAAATAGGTACAAAACATCCTTAAATAAATTTATTTATATTTATATGTTTATTTTATAAACTACAAATACAAAGAGTACTTTTATTATTAATATTATTAGGATGTTTTGTATGTACAATCCCAGCAATAAGTAACTGAAAATCAATATTGACGAATATATCCACTTTTAGTGTATTTTGAGTATGAGAAATTGTGTGGAATATTACAATTTGATTTTAGATACAGTGCAGACATGTATTTTTTAATATTTATTGCGTTTTTACTGAAATATTCCGAATTTTGTTAATCGAAATGATTAACTTTTGGCAGAGAATTTCGCCTTGTGAGAGATACATGGCTAACTTCATTGAATTATATTTAATATCTTTTTAACCAGTTAGTACTTGTATAATATTATTTGATCAAATATTTCCTCTGTATCTAAACTTTTGCAAATTTTAAACAAATTCTGAATATTATTTCCATGTGTTTTTGTCATTTGAATCGACGTGGTTGTACGTTTCCCATAAGAACACATGTTAATTCGGTGAAAATTAAAATCCTTATAACTTGTGAACGCTTTAATGAATCGATATAAAAATTGTACTGAAGATTTTAAACATATGTAAGGACATTCTGTACAATTTTCATCAAATTCTCAATATTTTGAAAATAGGTACAAAACATCCTTAAATAAATTTATTTATATTTATATGTTTATTTTATAAACTACAAATACAAAGAGTACTTTTATTATTAATATTATTAGAATGTTTTGTATGTACAATCCCAGCAATAAGTAACTGAAAATCAATATTGACGAATATATCCACTTTTAGTGTATTTTGAGTATGAGAAATTGTGTGGAATATTACAATTTGATTTTAGATACAGTGCAGACATGTATTTTTTAATATTTATTGCGTTTTTACTGAAATATTCCGAATTTTGTTAATCGAAATGATTAACTTTTGGCAGAGAATTTCGCCTTGTGAGAGATACATGGCTAACTTCATTGAATTATATTTAATATCTTTTTAACCAGTTAGTACTTGTATAATATTATTTGATCAAATATTTCCTCTGTATCTAAACTTTTGCAAATTTTAAACAAATTCTGAATATTATTTCCATGTGTTTTTGTCATTTGAATCGACGTGGTTGTACGTTTCCCATAAGAACACATGTTAATTCGGTGAAAATTAAAATCCTTATAACTTGTGAACGCTTTAATGAATCGATATAAAAATTGTACTGAAGATTTTAAACATATGTAAGGACATTCTGTACAATTTTCATCAAATTCTCAATATTTTGAAAATAGGTACAAAACATCCTTAAATAAATTTATTTATATTTATATGTTTATTTTATAAACTACAAATACAAAGAGTACTTTTATTATTAATATTATTAGAATGTTTTGTATGTACAATCCCAGCAATAAGTAACTGAAAATCAATATTGACGAATATATCCACTTTTAGTGTATTTTGAGTATGAGAAATTGTGTGGAATATTACAATTTGATTTTAGATACAGTGCAGACATGTATTTTTTAATATTTATTGCGTTTTTACTGAAATATTCCGAATTTTGTTAATCGAAATGATTAACTTTTGGCAGAGAATTTCGCCTTGTGAGAGATACATGGCTAACTTCATTGAATTATATTTAATATCTTTTTAACCAGTTAGTACTTGTATAATATTATTTGATCAAATATTTCCTCTGTATCTAAACTTTTGCAAATTTTCAACAAATTCTGAATATTATTTCCATGTGTTTTTGTCATTTGAATCGACGTGGTTATACGTTTCCCTTAAATCACATGTTAATTCGGTGCAAATTAAAATCCTTTGTGAACGCTGAACTTGTGAACGCTTTAATGAATCGATTTAAAAATTGTACGGAAGATTCTAAACATATGTAAGGACATTCTGTACAATTTTCATTAAATTCTCAATATTTTGAAAATAGGTACAAAACATCCTTAAATAAATTTATTTATATTTATATGTTTATTTTATAAACTACAAATACAAAGAGTACTTTTATTATTAATATTATTAGGATGTTTTGTATGTACAATCCCAGCAATAAGTAACTGAAAATCAATATTGACGAATATATCCACTTTTAGTGTATTTTGAGTATGAGAAATTGTGTGGAATATTACAATTTGATTTTAGATACAGTGCAGACATGTATTTTTTAAGATTTATTGCGTTTTTATTGAAATATTCCGAATTTTGTTAATCGAAATGATTAATTTTGGCAGAGAATTTCGCCTTGTGACAGATACATGGCTAACTTCATTGAATTATATTTAATATCTTTTTAATTAGTTAGTACTTTTATAATATTATTTGACCAAATATTTCCTCTGTATCTAAACTTTTGCAAATTTTCAACAAATTCTGAATATTATTTCCATGTGTTTTTGTCATTTGAATTGACGTGGTTATACGATTCCCTTAAAGCACATGTTAATTCGGTGCAAATTAAAATCCTTTGTGAACGCTGAACTTGTGAACGCTTTAGTGAATCGATTTAAAAATTGTACGGAAGATTCTAAACATATGTAAGGACATTCTGTACAATTTTCATTAAATTCTCAATATTTTGAAAATAGGTACAAAACATCCTTAATCGAAATGATTAACTTTTAGCAAAGAATTTTGCCTTGTGACAGATATATGGCTAACTTTATTGAATTATATTTAATATCTTTTTAACCAGTTAGTACTTGTATAATATTATGTGACCAAATATTTCCTCTGTATCTGAACATTTACAAATTTTAATCAAATTCTGAATATTATTTCCATGTGTTTTTGTCATTTGAATCGATGTAGTTATACGTTTCCCATAAGAATACATGTTAATTCGGTGCTAATTAAAATCCTTATAACTTGAACGCTTTAGTGAATCGATTTAAAAATTGTACTGAAGATTCTAAACATATGTAAGGACAGACATTCTGTACAATGTTCATTAAATTCTCAATATTTTAAAAATGGGTACAAAACATCCTTAATATGCACGATACGTGTATATGAAGATGACGGGGTTGGTGTAATCGTTTCATAATGCGATTCAAGACGCATTAAAAATCGTGTTGTACACGATATATGATGTCGAACGCGGCTTCTCCCACGTATGTCAGGACACGGCTGTGATCATTGCCGATTGTTGGGTAACGTGACGCGACCGGTTCGTCGGGGGCCGCAAAACGGCCCGGTTGGCCGCAGGCCAAACGCAGGAAAGAAGGACGACGCGAAGCGTCGACCAGCTGACCCAATGTGCCCGGACAAGGATGACCTCGAACCGCTGGGTACATCGGTCCCGATTGCCGGGATAACGAGAAATACCCGTCGTCGAATACCCGGATATCACCTGCTCCGGTCATCCCTAGTTCACTGGATCACGCCCGAAGGGACGCGATGCAGTCCGACATATAAAGTGATGACAACTGACGCTGATAAAATTAAAAAAAATTGTACACCAGATTGACAAATTATTCTCAAAGAATTATACAGATATTATACAATAAATAATAATTAAAATGTCCTAGAATTAATATAAGTTGAATTCGTTCTTAATTAGTTCTTTCTGAATCAATTCTATCGTCGCTAATCGGGTTGCAAGAAAATCGGGTTGTGAGAAGAATTGTTTGTCGAGATATATCGTGTGTACGAAATCACGTGTGTACGCAAGCGTACAGACGCTCACGTGCACGCGGAAAGAAAACAACGTGGAAATATTCCTTCGCGAGAAGAGGAGTCGGTCAAATAACTGTACGTCGCGGCCTCCGGGCGACATCTTTGGTGTCGCCGATGTCTGGCGTCCTTTACATGTCCATTCCACATATCCGTAGACATACTCGTTCCTAAACGTGTATGTCTATTTATCTTTGTCAGGTTCTTTTTTCCCCTTATGTTTTTCCCTTCATTTTTTCTTATTATTTTCTTCAACCGCGAGTAATAATAATATGCAATCAAATTTCCGAGGTCCGTATAAAAACCTTGCGATCATACTTGAAGCTTCAATCGACATTCCTTTTACCGTGTAAATATCAAAGGAAGAAATTACTATTACGATGTTAAAGTACATCTCTGCAAATACAAAGTGAATGTGACGACATCCGTATGACGCATAGCAATTATTTCGCGAAGAGCTATGACCAAATAAAGCTCCTACTATCATAATTCTGCAATAAATTTCCTTTCACCACCCACCGTTTCCTCTGTCGAACGCATCAAAGTAACCTTATGCATCCAATGTTGCGTGCAAAAATTAAATTAATTAGATCCTTTAAAAATATACTAAATGCATTAAACATATCTTTTTTTCTGTTCTTTCACAGATGAGGCTCTATCGAATAATATTAGGGCTTCCAGGATAGAAAGGGATCTAGAGGGTAAGTCTCCATAAATGTTTATGCAGTGTGTCTAACAAATGTATCTTAATCTCGTGACACTTGCCACACTTGAATTACACTGATACATGCAGACAAGGATTGCACTCAAAATTGTGTTTTCTCTAAACGATTCGATGTAAAGTGTTTAACTTTTCATTTAATTTTAATGTGTCTATTTTAATTTTAATAACGTTACTTAAGTATAACAAATTTATTAAATTATATTATTTATTAATATATTATTAATGATATATTAATAATATATTATTAATGATATATTAATAATATATTAATAAATAATATAATTTAAAAAATTATTAATAATATATAATTATTAATATATATTTATTAATATATTTATTAAAATATATTTGTTAAAATATAATAAAGTTTGAGTGCAATTTTACGATATTGAACAATCTTTCTGCTTTGTTCTTTGTCTCTGCTCTCTAATTTCCTTTCACGATACATCATTTCTCGTCTCAATTATCTACGTGCGTGTTGACGCGAGGTGCGGCCGTGTAAATAAAGTTCTGAAACGGGTAATACTTTTCTATCTTCGCTAAATTGACTACGAGATGTATATGTTACTTTATTTTGATGGTATCTGGCCTATCGTACGATCGATTGCGAAATGTTTCTTCCCAAAGACATGAAAATTCATCACGCTGCACGGAAAATATATTATGATATTTTGCCAAAAAATCTACACGACTTGAAAATCATGAGATAAGTTTGCTATTTAAATTTATTAAATTAAATTTATTAAATTAAATTTATTAAATTTATTAAATTAAATTTATTAAATTAAATTTATTAAATTAAATTTATTAAATTTATTAAATTAAATTTATTAAATTAAATTTATTAAATTAAATTAATTAAATTAAATTTATTAAATTTATTAAATTTGTAATTTGCTATTTAATATTTCTTTAAACAATAATAAACTTTTTTATCCTATATTTTTTCATATTCCGTAAGCATAGAATTTTCAAGATCCAAGGGTTGCACATAAGCAACTAAACATCTTTCTTTTCCTTGCATGCCTGCGTTGTTTCTCTCACTCTCTATTCAAGAAACTGTTTTTTTTAAGTAGGGTAATGACGCAAATTAAGCAGGGTACTACGGATATAGTAATTACAGGTGTCCTAGGCTACGAAAGAAGAAGGCTAGTCTACTAAGATCGTCTATCTCTTTTTTTCTGTTTCTGTTTACTGCTCCCGTCTGCTCCCCGCCTTCAACTCTTCTCAACAACTGGATGCCGTCTGCCTCCAACGTCCGTCCGCCACTCCGTCTCTCCGACGACCTACATTACAATAAAAAAATAACAATATACGCGACCGCCGATGCAAACGAACGCCGACGCACGGTATATGACAATTACGAAACGAACGGACTCGTAAATGCGAAACGTGGCTGAACGAATCCAATTTGTTGCACACATTGGTTTCGAACGACCAAACGTATTTTGATTTCTCGTCCCGTTGTAATCGCTTCCCTCGTTTTTGCTCGTTCTCGTTTTTATTGATGAATCATCAACGTATTGCGATGCCGCGTGTCCCGCGTCGTTGATCATTTTACGTTGCCCCTGGTATCTTCTTCACTTTCGAATTTGACTCTTCAGGAGTGACCACTGTCCTTTTGGTTCCGGCACGTCCCGGAAAGTCCATACCTCCAGTTGGAATATTGACAAAAACGGCACGGACGTTCGTACAGGATGGAGCAAGCACCGAATTCGCCACTCAAGTTCTTGGTACGACTTTAGACAACGGTCGTCTCTACGCAAGAATTCTGTCTACGTCCAGCAGAGTATTCTATGATAAAGAGCCAACGCCAGATTCATCAAGTCCCTACGTCGTTTATCCCTCGAGAGCGCCTGAAAGCGATTGGCGATTTAAGGTTGCCCTCGATAATGCGCCAATTAAGGCAATCGAGGGAATAAAAGTGCCAAATGGCGATAACGAGGAATCGAGCGATTTTGAGAGGCAGAGAGAAGCCGCTAGTACCATGAAATTGGACGAGTTATCCAAAGAGAACGATATATTCAACAAGAGAGATCTAAATGGGGATACACAGAGATTCAAACCGGCAAAAGTACGAACGGCCGACGATTTGCCCACTTATACTGTTAAACAGGAGTACGTGACGAGCAGCTTCGATTCGTTCGACGATGAGTCTAAGAGTTTCAGGCCGCGAGTGCCGAAAATTTTTAAACCGCAAGCTCCGAAAAGTCCGCCGCAAAGAAAGGTGGACACGAGAGCCTTTGCCACGGTGACTTATCATGGTTTCGCAGACTTCACGACCACGGTCGGCGACACCGTCATCGTCTTCTCGCCAAGCACGTCACCAGCGCCGGTGGGACGTCCTGCTACTACGATCAAAGGTGATGCCACGCTTCGTCCGGATGATGGCGTGGCGGTGCTGAAAATTCATCCTACGACTGTGATGGAACATACAAAAACCGATCGACCTTACGAAGAAAATCGAAAGCATACTTCGGACGATCAGTTGTTGAGCGCAATCAATCGCGGTAACATTCAACCAAGTGTCACCGAAGAGATTGAAACCGAATCATCGACCATGTCTACGGAGCCGTTATTATTGGTGCCCGATGTCGAAACAGGATCATTGAAGCCAACGGGTCTTTTAAAAGTTATCGACTCTACTACTTCGTTAGATGGAACTACGACTCATTACAAGAGTCATATTTATGGCACGTACATTGGTACAAATTATGCGCAAATTATTCACACATCTTCAAACGTATATTTCTTCCCGGATGAAGCTACTGTAACATATGAAGCTGATGATACTACGATGGACTACGGTACAACTGGAACAGAGTCTGACGAGCAAGATACCACTGTCAATGCACTACCTTCAACTACACCGACGACCAACGAAGAAACACCGTTCGAAATGAACGAACTAACCACTCCACTGAGAGGTACAACAGATAATGTTTTAACGACGTTGAAAGATATTTTAGAAAGTGCGAGAAAAGTGCTAGGGACGACCGAATCGGTACGACCGATTTTTGATTATGAACTTCCCAATGATATCGTATCAGGAGATCCTCAGGGTCGTAGTATTAAAGGCGGCTCTCCTCAGAATGATCATCAATCCGACAAACACAAGCCGCATGGGTTTAAATTGGATAATGTAGAAGAGAAAATGACATTAGCTACAAAACTACTACCGTCTACTGTCTACAAGACATTCACATATTTCACGACTTTCTTTATTCCAGACAACGATCAGACCACTACTTCGATACGCTCTCGAGAAGTAGTTTCTTCCGAGGTAACCTTCTTGACGGAATTAGTTCGACCTACCTCAACCGATAGTTCGATTCAATCCACTTCTTTACCAGGCACAAAAACACCAAATTTACCTGGCGAAATCGAAGAAGAGCAGACTACTAAACAAGACGAGGAAATAGAACTCATTTTTAAAACTTTGTATACGACATATACGTATCTAACGACATTTTTCCAAGAAAATACATCAAGCGTATCTAGTCGACAAGTCGTTGATACTAACATTATTACGCAGACTATTGGACCAAACGGCGCTTCCGCAATTGTCGGTTTCTTTGACAAGAATGAGTCCGTTTTGATATCACCGACAACAATATCGCAGAACATTTTCCCTTCTATAACAAATCCTCAAACTCCTGAGGAATTTAATAGAGAGACAGAGCCGACTTATCAAGTGTCTGATGAAACGACAGACGAAAGTTTAACTACTTTCCAACAGCAAGATACTACTATACAAGAAAACATTCCAACGGAATCTATCACAACCGTTGATGATTTTGAAACGTCAGATGAATGGATCACTGATTTAGAACCAAGCCCTACCCCGGCTATAGCGAGTCAAGCAGCAAAAGAACAAGTGAAAACATATTATACGACTTACACGTATTTTACCACTATCTTTGTGGATGATGAAACAGAAATCGAGACACGAACTGAAGTCTTTACTAATGTCGTCACAGAAACTATTACGCCCACAAACGTTCAATCAGTTCCACAACAAACGATTCAACCGGCAACGCCAAAATCTGAATCTGCCGAGAATAAGCCTGCAGTTCCTCCGGAGATCTTAGCATATCTAGAGGCTCTTCAACATCAAAAGTCTCAAGAAGAAGCACTTTTATTGGCAAAGAAAGTTCAGCAAGCCAATATTGATGAAGCAACGCACGCCGATGAGACCACAACTCTGACCGAAAATAATACCGAATTAACTACAGAATCACTTATTACCATGGAAGATCGAGCCACCACCGAGCGTCTATCTAGTAATTTCCAAATAGTCGCTCAAGTAACACCTAATCCTCCGACTGATGTGGAAATTCTGGGCTCTATGGTTACGGATGTTGTGTCATCTTCCAGCTCCGGTGGCGGTACCGTTCTGGATGTGATGGATAAGAGAAATGCTGTTCCTGAAGATCAAGAGCTGTCAGAGTCCAATAACCACGAGGTAGAACCGGCTCCGACGTTGCTTCTACAGACTAGTTATACGACCTTCACGTATTTTACAACAATGTACAAAGGCGATCAGACGAATGTTGCCAGCCGTCTAGAAACAGTTACGAATATCGTCACGGAGACTTTAAGGCCATCCCTCGCGTTGCCGGTTCCGACCAGCACATTGCCAGTAACGTACTTTACAACCTTTACTTACTGGACAACATTCTACAAGGATGGCGATACCATAACTACTAGTCGTGAAGAAACAATTAGCAACGTTGCTACACCGGGAGTTTCGCCTACGCCCACGGTGGAACTTGGTGTAGTAATGACATACACGCCAACCGTGAATCCACTTCTGGAGGAGGATTCTCTCGTTAACGAACAAGAATCCAAAGTCACGGCGGATAATGAAGTTACACCTTTAAGCAACGCTGCTCCGCAAAAATCAATTATCGAAAACACGAACGTACTATCTAAAGAAATTACAACTACTCCTGACGATAAGAACGCCGTGAATACTTCATCGATTTCGCCCGATCCTACGACCTTTTATACTACATTCACTTATTTCACTACGTCCTACGTCGGAAACCAGACAATTTTAAATAGCAGGCTGGAGACGGTAACCAGTGTATCAACGCCAGATATTACGACGCAACAAGCGACAGGTCGCGCGATTAATGGTCCTGTATATCCATCGATTCAAACATTAAACACCGATGAGAAAACAACCGTGGCACCTTCCAAAGTATCTGATAATCTGAAAACGGGTTTGATTTCGACTATACGTTCGAGTGAAGTGCATGAAGATACTACGACTCATTATACGACGGATGTGTACGGTACTTATGTGGATGGATATTACGCACGAGTGGTAAAGAGTTCGACGAGTATAGAAACACCGTCCTTATCTTCCTCATCGATAGCTACGCCAGTTCTTCCTACGGGCGTTTTATCTTTGAATAAAGGAAGCGTAGTAGATGCCGACGAAGTTACTACCGTTTACTTTACGACTAAACAGATAGGCACGCTTTTCGAAGGAACTTATGCCAAAGTAATCGAAAGCACATCGACCACCAAGATAGACGAAGAAAAAAAGGCAAGTATTCCGCCAACTCAAGGTCATCGAACCGGCTTGGTACGTCTGATTCAGGGTCAAATTGAGAATAATGGAACCACTACGTTCTATCAATCGAAAGTTATTGGCACTAGTATCGAGGGTAGATATGCCCAAATTATCGAAAGCACTTCCAGCTTCTTTGCATCGAGTCCTACGACAAATATTTCACCGACTTCTACTCTACCTCCGAGCCAATCGACGGGAATTCCAGAAGTCTCGCCTTCTCCCGCCGTTATCCAATCTTCCCTTTCAGAAGATTCTACAACAGAATCTCCCGATCACGACGAAGACTCTGACCAGAATGAAGAAGATGATGAGGATGAGGAAGAAGACGAAGATGGACAAAGTTCTAAAAAGAAATCACGGTTAACGTTCTCGACTAGGAAGAGAACATTCACGCCAGTGATCAGACCGTTTGCCTCCAGAAACAGACCAACGTTTAATCCGAAACGTAAAGGCGCACAAGCTGCCACAACTATCACCAGAACAGATATAACGCCCACGATAACCGCGACTTTAGCCGGCAAAAGTAACCGATTCGTTTCATCACGAAGTCGAGTCACTTCGCCCATCGGACCATATTCTTCAACGTTGTCTCCATCAGGTTCTAGACGATTTTCTGGCAGACGGGGAAGCATCGCTACTTCAAGCTCGGCATTCCCAGCGAGCAGTACTCGCGCAAGAGGACAAACCAGAATAACTCCGTCGTCCGTGTTTCAAAGCAATAGGCGCGGACCAACGTCAATAAGAGGATCTTCTTCTAAACCTGCAATTCGCGTTTCAAGTTCTGCGTTTCCCAGCGCTTCCTCGAGATATCGACCTGGTATTCGACCATCATCGACATTATTGAGAGGACAACCTACGGTTAAGCACGATGATCAAGAGAACGATGCTAATGAATTCACTACAACTACGATATTGACGGATGAGACGTCATTCACAGAATATTTGGAAGGCGAAACTGTTACAACTCCTTTGCAGACTACGACAGAATCATCCAGAAGATCTACAAATCCGCTCTTACGATTCCGCAGGCCTATTAATTTAAATAATAGATCAGGAATCACTACTCGATCACCGCCGACTACAACACCAAGACGATCGGGAAATTTAAATAGACCGAGCGCGCCAACTATTCCCAGAGTAACAAATGGACGAACAAATACCCGAGCTACTCCTCCAGTATCTACGAGAAGTCGACCAAGTAATACAGGTCTATTTCCTCCACGTGGATTTCTTGGCAGAAAGCAAGAGTCAGCCACTGAAGAGCCCAACGAAGAACCCAACGAAAATGAGGACGAAGGAATTGAAGACGAACAACCCGTTGAAGAAATATCAGATAACGATTATGAAGGATCAGAACACGAAGACAGAAGATCGAATACAAATGTGAATCGTCGTTCTGGAAAATCTGTTGGTTCCGTCGTACAAATCAGACCTTTTGGAGCTAGAACGAGAAGAGTTCGTCGTCAGGCTAGTCAATTGAAAGCATATCGTTTCCATAGGCCCATTCAATCATTATCCACAAAGGATGAAGATAAATCTGATTTATTAGATACCTTAGGGAGTAAAGATGACATTGTAAAAATAGCATCAAAACCTAGCGCTCGATATAATAATCGAGCGCGAAGTTTGATGACATCGCAATCACAACTAAAAACATTTAATAATCCGGATCAATCAGCGGAAACAACGGAGTTTGTAAATCAGCAGAATAAACCTAAAACCAGATCAAATCAATCTACTAGTGGAAATAGAAACGGATCTGTCAGAATAAAACCGTCATCGACCTCGAGCAATGGAAGACAATTTACATTAAGAGAAAAAGATAATGTTTCGAACAGATCGGATTATAAGAGACCAACTTCAAGAACAAGCAGCAGATCAAGCAATAAGACAACTCAGAACGGAAGAGTAAGACCACCGAGATTACGAAACGGATCTTCCAAACCTTCAACCGGATCTTCTAATTCTCGAAGAGTACCACCCTCTCGTGGATCCTCAAGATCAACGAATGGAAGAAACGGAAACAACAGAAGAGGCCCTACAAGAGGCAGAGGATCTTACGAGGACATCCGAGAAGCGCCGACCGTACATCCAAATTTTGACGGCACGATAACCGTAACACATTATGTACCAAAAGAAGTAACGATTCCTGTAGTAAATAATGGCGTTACAGAACATCGTAATATCATAACCCAGCAACCTAGTACCGAAATTCTCAGACCCTCACAATATAGCACGGTGACAGCTGGAGATGGCAAGTCGCTCGTAGTAATCGTTAGTGAAATTACGGGCACCAACGTTCAAGGCCAGACCGAGGTTACACGATTTTTGCTTCACGAGACACCCACTACACGTATCTCGCACACACTTTCGAGCCTCGGTGGTCGTCGCGTGTCTCAATCGGTTATCGTACCCACGACAGTATATTCTGTGGAGAACATAGTTTCTACGGTACAGCCGTCCTTGTCCGGCAACGCTCCCCTCGCTAATATTCTTCTCTCGCAATTGCTATTGGGTCAATTAGGTCCGAATCCCCTATTACAATCTCAAGCTACACCTACCACACAATATAATACACGCACTACTTCCTACGTCACTACAATAACAAAACATCAAAGCACTGTCATTCCCCTAACCTTCCGCGGAAAAGAGATCCTGACGACTTTAGTCGATTCTTCGACCGACATTGTCACCGCAACAGAATTCATAACGGACACCGTTGTAGTAACTCCAACTGCTGCGATACCAGCGGCCAACATAAATTCTCTCTTGCTGCTGCTTCAACAACCGCAATCTCAGCAAAATTCCAATCCGTTGCTGGATCCTCTGTTCGCGCCTCCTCCGTTTACGCAGAGCAACACTCTACCAGGTGAAGTCGAGAGAAGACATCAGCCGGCCGATTCTGACTACAGACACGACAGTTACGAATATTCCGAGGAGGAGAACGAAGAAAAATTGGAAAATTATCAGAAATCATCTAGAGGCGGACGTGGCAAATCGAACGATAAAAAGAAGGCCTCTGCGGCTTCCAACAAAGCCGAATCCAGCGTAGTGACACTCTATGTTTCCGGCCGCAGACCCGGAGAGTTCAGCACTGTTCTAAGCACTGTAAAAGTCGGTGATTCCGTTACCGCATCCAGGAGACGAAGAGACACCTTGCAGGAAGCTGTCGAGGTCCGACCTTCGGTATCGCCGTCATTGCACGCCGGACCGGCCGTCGCCATTTTAGCGGGAAGCGAAGATCCCATCGACGTACACGCACCGACACAAAGTCTCGAGAGCGTAGTGGGTGACGTCGGACGGCATATTTCCACATCCATCTATACCTAATCTTGTCCCCTCCGCCAAAAAAGTCTCCTTCTGCTCCTCACCTCCTTCCCTTTCACTCTTATATCATAATTATCCATAATTTTATCGAAATCCACTTAGAATTGCCCGAAGCTAACGGCCTTCCCTAAAATCTCCATCCATTCGGAGAGCGTTAGTTTAGCTTTCTTCGGGCACGTCGCAGTGGACAAAAAACGAGTAACTTTGATGAAAATCGAGGTTGCTAAATAATGTAATATAGATAATAACCGTAACTGCCAAGATCTTTTCTCTTGAAGCAACAAGGGAAGAATCATATAATTGGCAGTTTCGAAAAGGGAACTATCCGTGAGGATGGTTACCTCGTGTGTCCGTTTTGCAACTTGTTCTCTCCCAAATCTCTCCTCTCTTGAATCTCTTCCTTCTAAAAATTTCCCCTTCGAGCATCGTCCCCATTTTTCCCCTACTAACACAACCTTGATCTGCCGCCGCACGCGCGCCCACACGACAAAGTCGGACATGATACTCTCTTCCATCGACAACATTACAAACAAACACGTCATCTGCCCGTTGCGGATAATGTTACTAAAACGCACAGTATACGGTGAAATCTAATCGAACGTGCATACAAAAATAAAACACGAAACGTCAGCATAATTTAATTATAATTGATTGATGCATCACGAAAATATATCATTGGAAACGAAGTTTGATCGTAAAACTTTGATATCAATCTAAGCAAAATGGATAATATGTATTCAAACAGACAGAGTGGAAACACATCGCCTTTGCAGGTGATCTCTACGATGAGTCGGTGCAATATGGAAACATAGAGGAACGCAAGAGAGAAGGCACCGTCAACATATGGTCCGCGAACGAGGATAACGTAAATCTTGGGAGAATCGACGACAATGACGAATCTCTTCAGGATGTGCCGAAAAAACGTGTCAGAATTCGAGTGCCCGTGGTGCGTAGCAGAAGTGCTAGGCAACACAAGCTTACAATCGTCAGACGTAGACCCTTATCATCTCATACAAAAGATCTCACGATTGTAACACCTACCGAACATGCTCCACGAAGAATCGTGGTGACGCGCGTCAGGACTCTCGAGTCGGACAAATCGATCTATCCAACTGATACTCTAGACTCCGTCGACCATCAATCTACCGGAAAGCATAAAGTGACTATAACAAGACGCAGAAAGCTTCAATCCACGATATCGAAGTCAGCCAAGGACAAAGTTAGAGTTACCAGGAAGAAGCTAGTTGCGGTGCGACCGATTCTACCGACGTCTACTGTTGCCATTATCACTACTGGATTCTTTACCGCCCCTTCCTCCGAATATGACGATGAATATTCAGACGAGGAAGATGAGAACGAATACACGACCATCAAAGAGGAAGATCATATTGTCATTACGCCCAGTCTTGAAGAAACGCCAAATCTTATTGACAATAAGCCGGGCGAGGAAATGAATCTTGCGTCGTTGGAAGCTAGTTTAACAGGATCTAAAGAAAGCACGTCAGACACGCCAATCATTATTACTGACAATTTCTTTTTCCCTCCGTCTGATGACGAGCAAGATGAAGAATACGATGATGAAGAATACGATGATGATTATTTTGACGTGACTACTACAACTGAAAACGTGGATAACATTTTAAAAGATGAGCATTCCACAACTGAAGTAATTTCTGTAAAGGATGAAAATAATGTCATGTCTAATGGGAGCGATATTGAGACAAAGCAAGATAATATTACAATACCAATCAATCAAATCACGTCAGAAAAGTCGTCCCAGGAACAATCAGTGAAGATGATTGAAGAATCCGATAACATAACAGAGTTTATCGATACCTCTTTAGAAGATGATAATATTACCTCAAACGCATCTACTATCGTATTAAATGAAGATGTACCAACTACTGAATTTGTTCCTATAGAAAAAGATGATGACGATAACACTGCAACGAAAGAGTACACGACTACTGCCAATCCTGAAGAGCAAACTACTTTCATAGATGACGTCACTGCATTAAACCTGCCTGAAACCACCGAATCTACGACCCTTTCTGATGACGAAGATACTACAAACATACCTAACACGACCGAAGTACATGATTCATCTGTCACTGAGGTGATAATGCTCGATGCAAAAGAAGAGACTCAAGAATCTTCCGAAGATACCGGGCGCGATATGATACCGGAAACGGTCAGCGAAATCCCGGAAGAGCTGCTAAGAGTACGACCCATACAATCGGACAGTAAAATTGATTCCATTTCAACCCAGAGTTCTCTAGTCGAGACCGTCTTTTCGTCCAATGTCACATTCGCGTCGAGCTTCGAGAGTGTTATACCACTCGCGACTACGAAATTACCGACGAATTATTCCTCCGACTCGTACGTACCCAGCGTGATACCCCTCAGCGCGAGTTACGGTAGCGAAACGAAATCGTCGATTCGCAAAACCCCCGTACTTGACACAATTCCCGTGACAAAAGTCACGACCAAGATCGCGTCGCCCACGCCAGAGGAGATCGAAGCCGGATTAACGGACGATCTCTACCTGTCGCTGTCCCGCCTCGATTTCCCCGAGATCCTGCCGTCGAAACCAGCCACGATCGGCTTGGAAACCAAATCTACGGATCTCACGTTAGAGCCAAGCACGAGTGTTTACTATACGGAGACGGTAGTGACGTCGACGCGACTAAGGACGTACACGTACGTCGTGACGCAACAGAACGGACTGGAGACTAAAGTGACGTCGTCGACGACCGTACGACCGAGAGTGACGACACTTACGTTGACGGTGCCCGTCACGGTGACTGTCACTCCTACCGTGGAGTCGTCAGCCGACTTCGTATCGTCTGTGTATAATCCAGTACCCATCGCCGGTGAGTAGCCCTTTAGCCCATCTCAGACCTCTTTTGCGACAATCACACCGTGCCCTCGATAACGTTAGAGAATTTTCTAAAATATTATAATAATTAAAATAAAAATTACATATAAATATTATAATAATATATAAAATTATATAGAGTGTCCCAAAAGTCCCGGACCGGTCGAATATTTCATAAACTATGCACTTTAAAAAGAAATGTTTCAAACAAAAGTTGTATGGCTTGAAGGGGGCCATCAGACAGTGGCAATGATTTGACAGAGTCATTTGAATGTCACGTGAAGTTCACCGTCAATTTTTTAAATGGAACCCCCTATTTTTTATTACATATTCGTGTAGCTTATCTCGAGAGCTTTCCAAAACACTATAATAAAGTATATCTTCATTGAATACTTTTCAAGTTATAAGGCTTGAAATTATTTCTTAATTTTGTATAAACCATAAAATATCTAGTAAAATATTCATTTTTCGATTATCTTACCTTAATACTTTTATGTACAAAATAATGAGAGGAATCTATTGGTCTAAAGAAAAAACATAATTGTTTTTAAGAAAAAATATGTAATTTGCAATTAACAATTACATATTTTTTTTTAAAACAACTATGTGTTTTCTTTACACCAATTGATTCCTCTCATTATTTTGTACATAAAAGTATTAAGGTAAGATAATCGAAAAATGAATATTTCACAAGATATTTTACGGTTTATGTAAAATTAAGAAATTTCAAGCCTCATAACTCGAAAAGTACTCAATGAAGAAATACTTTATTATAGTGTTTTAGAAAGCTCTCGACGTGAGCTACCAGAATATTTAATAAAAAATAGGGGGTTCCATTTAAGAAATTGACGGTGATCTTCACGTGACTTTCAAATGACTGTCCCATGTCAAATCATTGCCACTCTCTGATGGCCTCCTTCAAGCCATACAACTTTTGTTTGAAACATTTCTTTTTAAAGTGCATAGTTTACGAAATATTCGACCGGTCCGGGACTTTGGGACACTCTGTATAAATATTATATAAATATTATATAAATCTTAACAAAATATTACTATATTTTCGAAAATATTATAAAATATATCATTAAAATATGTCAATAAAATTGTCCCTTGTTAGTCGAAATTCATAACATTTCAAAGTAAAAGGAGAGAAACTGTAAATAAATGGAAATAATCATTTTAACGTTGAGTGCACACGGTGATCGCCGCAGTATGTAATATAATCCTTAGACTAATAAACTTTTTTTTCGCTATAGACTTCCTGATTCTTGATTACGTGAATTCAGTTAGACGAAACGGACTGTCGGACTGTGCAAATGCTCTGTTAAATACTGTGTTGTAATTGGCTTTTGGTAATCTAAATTTTTCCTGTATATTACAACCTTGTATATGAAATGTACATATTGTATATGACAAGATGACGCTGTACATACATCTAAATTTGCGTTTTTTTCTTGTACGATATATATGAATATTAATCATACTCTGTGTAAACTATATATAATCTTATCGATTATATTCTCTGTAAACATTTTTCATACTTTCGATTACTCCGAATATACGAATTCTCTTTAATAATAATACAGACATCTGATCGCGCGAATGATTTATATACAACACGGTAAGCTTGTATCTTTTATCAAGAGAAATTTTATTTCCCAAAAAATAATATCGTTATTGCGAGATCATTTTTTCCTTACATATGCAATACACTGTGATATATCGTTGTTTATGGAATCGAAACGACAGGAGAATATGAGGCGAAGGACGAGGAGGAAGGACGCAGGTTCAACCTAGCAACCCGCGTAATGTCGAACGGCGTGGAAGTCATCGTCGCGGGACCTACTCCGGCTTTGCGATGGGAGAACTCGAATCCTCAACCTACCCTCACCTTGTCAGACGCGGTGGTCATGCTCCTGCCGCAGGATAAGCCGAACGAGTTTGTCACGAAGACTTGCACAACAACTTTCACGTATCTCAGCACGATCACCAAGGATGGAACGACTACCGTCACTACAGAGCAGCAGGTGCTTACGCACCATTTTTACCCCTACTTACTTTTCCACAAAATAAAATCTACTAAACGTTCAAGTTTTATTCCACTTGTATAAGCCGTTATAAGTTATTAACGGTAATCACTTGAACCTCTCACAGAATGTTTTATTTACTCGACTATCTGAAATGCTTTCGTTCCTACTGAACTAGTAGGAAAATGTATGAAAAAGAAATTGATGTGTAAAAAAATATTATGCAGAAATAAGACCGATATGTTATAAATTGATGAAGCCATTTTTTTAACGGCATTACTGTCAATAAAATTCTATCAATAAAACATACTGTCAATAAAATTCACAATTCATTGTGTTGATATTACATATTTAGAAAAAGATATAAGTGATCTTTAAAGAAAAACTAATTGTGTAAAAGATACTTTTAACAAAAAAAGTCCCTTTAAGTGAGATAATCTCTTTCTTATTTTATTCTATCGAAAGAAATAAATAGTAACAGAAATGCTTACGGATATTCAAGTTTTTAAAATATCCTGTGTAAAACTTGTTATTGGTAATAATGTTATTTCTTTTTTCTAGGTTGTAGCGAACACGGCGACGGAGGAACGACATAGAAAACCTGGCTCCGAAACAGCAGCTGTGACTCTGGAAGCATCCCCGACTCTACGTACCGAAGTATTTAAAACGACTTACACGTACCTGACCTTGAACACGGATCATCCCGACGTGAATGACGCTTTGGAAAGTAGCACGAAAGTTATTACAAACACGGTTACCGCACCGCAGCATTACCTAGACATGATTCTCGAGCCATCAGAGGCTCCGCGACCGGAAACAAATACATATCTCAGTACCAGAGTGTTGGAAAAGACATTTATGGAAGAAGGTCGAACGCAAATAGAAACGGTCAGCGACACGATTACCCAGGTTTGCTTTTCCACAAATTCTTTTGTTTAACATTGACACTCATTATGATATTATGTAATTTCTTTTTCGACCTTCTTTTTCTGTTTCAGCTGATTGTAACAGAATCAGCACCTCCGCCACGACCAACTAGTGTCACAACTACCTTGACTGCCTTGGACAACACTGACGATAGCGTGACAGATATAACAAAGACATATTACATCACGTATACGTATTTCAATACATTCTTGGAAAAGGGTAGCACGGTAGTTCGTACGAACGTAGCCACATCGACTGATGTGGTATTAGAAAAAGTGCCGGTGCGAAAAACCACCATGAAAACCGCCCCGATTAATCCTACGCAGGAACCTATACAGATCTTTGCTACTAAAACATATCTTACAACCTTTACTTATTTTACGACGTTGCTGCAGGTAATATAACATTATTAAATATAACAAATTAAACTTTAACGGGATATAATATATTGTTTATATACATGACACCGTTAAAATTTCTCTCATTTTTTTAGGCTGGCCCAGATGGAGAAACGTCAACCACCGTGACGTCTCGTTCGCACATCGTTGAGAATGTCGTAACAGAATCGATAGCGCCGAGTTTGTTAGATGCCGATTACATGAATGCCCTATTGACGACTGCACATCATTCCGATCCGGTGAAAAATGTCGTCACGGGTTCGACAATTATCTTTTTCGACGAGGAGGATCAGATTGATCCGACAGCAACCTCAAATCTCCCAGAATCAACCTCTTTTACGGAAATAAAAAAACATGAAAACAGTGTCACGAGCACGACTGTAATGTCGACGAATACAGTGTCGCAGAATGTTAGTTCTGACATAAAACCAATGGATTCAAATAATAAACAGGTATTTCTTGTTCATAATTTTCTTTCAATAAATTAGGAAAAAAATTCTGACGTTTTTCATACGTAATATATATACAGAGTGTTCCATTTTAATGTCCCACCCCAAATAACTTTCTTATTTTTAATTTTAGAAAAAGATGTTTCAGACGAAAGTTGTACGGTTTCAAGGGGGATATAAGGTAGTGTCATTAGTTTGACCTTGAAGAGTCACATGAAGGTTACGTGAAGGTCATTTTGAATTTCTTAAATAAAACACCCTATATATTTTTGCATATTCTTGTAGCTTAAGAAAACAGACAGTTGTTCTTAAGAAAAAATATGAAATTCTTAATTGCAAATTAAATATTTTTTCTTAAGAACAAATGTATGTTTTCTTTACACCAATTGATTTCTCTCATTATTTTGTACATAAAAGTATTAAGGTAAGATAATCGAAAAATGAATATTTTACAAGATATTTTATGATTTATGTAAAATTAAGAAATGATTTCAAGTGTCATAACTCAAAAAGTAGTTGATGAAAAAATAATTTATTTATAGTATTTTGGAAAGCTCTCGAGATAAGCTACAAACACCGCCTTATGTCCCCCTTGAAACCATACAACTTTTGTCTGAAACATCTTTTTCTAAAATTAAAAATAAGAAAGTTATTTGGGGTGGGACACCCTGCATATATATCAAAATTTTCTGCATTTTCCTAGGATAATAATAGCACGCTATCAACTGACGAGCCACAAAACAAACGTCCCAATTCTCAAGGGGAAGATCTTCAAGTCAGTAATCTTCTCAGTCTGGGTTCTTTAGGAATAAACAGCTTGTCTGCCTTGGGACCGGTGATTACGGCGATGGCTGGATTGCTGCAGGGAAAAAGCACCGCCTCTCGTAGAAACGATACAGTGTCTATCGCCGAAACGGCACAAGAAGTCACAACACAACGATCACCGATTTATATTCCCGTTGCAGAATTTGCTGACGGTGATATAGAAACCGCTGAAAGTCAGCATATCGGTAATGTTCTTTCCCACAACTATTATTAATGTTTTATCCGGGATCTTACAAAATTGTTTTCTCTAGCTGCTCATCTGGCAAATCTCAATCACAATTACATCGCCGAAACGCGTCACAAGGTAACCAGCAGTCTTGCCGATGGTATACCGATATCTCCGGGCGAAATAATCACGGCAAACAGCGATGTTATAATCGGAAAACCGGGCAAAATGGCACCGAGATTGCCGCAAACATTTTTAAAAGACGAAAAGCACATCGGCATGAAACCTCCGCCTTTACCGGTACCGAATATTCCGGTGCATCCTGTATTGGAAGTCCTGGAAAACGATGGCGATGATGTGCAAACTCAACAAACCGCGCAAGGTCCACAGATACAGATCTTGCCGGCTCATCAGATTTATGAGGAACATTTAAAAGTGCCGGTTTCAATTCCTCTTGATATTCCGAATCATCCAACAGTTCCTAAACAATCTCAAAAATTACTTCCCGTTCAATCGATACCTAAAAGAATTATTTCGAAACAAGATATTTTGGAAAACGATCCTTTGCTAAAGCCGCCTGATAGACCGAATGTAGAACAATACGCGAATCCCAATGTAAATCTTAAAATTCCGGAATGGAATCCGGAAAAATATAGAAGACCTTGGAGTGCCAAAGATCCTTTAACACCGCCCTTATCACCTGCCAGATTTGATGAGGTATGTTTAGTATTCTTACAGTCGAAAAAAATAATATATAACAAATATATATAAAATATGTTCATATATATATATGTTAAGTTTCTCTTGTATAATTTCTATTCATATATACAAGAAAAATTGAAAGATATATTAAAAGATATATTAAAAGAATAATTTACGTAATTCTTTTTTTAAAAAAAGTAAAATTTTTAAAATTTTTCTAATTTTTTTTAAATGGTGCAAAAATCATTCTTTCTATTATTATTTAATTTTTTTTCTATACAGGGTGCTAAAAAAGTATCGCATACGCTCAGTGCCATCCGATAGAGAATGAGAATTTAAGAAAAAATGTCTAATAGTATTTTTCGATCCCATGAATAATTTCGCCGCAATTAATTATTGTAATCAATTAATCAGCGCGGAGCTACAAGAGGAAGCCAGGGGCGAAGCGCGCGAAGTCTGTGGCGCGACGACTAGCGCGGTAGCCGTCGTGCCGCAGACTTCGCGCGCTTCGCCCCTGGCTTCCTCTTGTAGCTCCGCGCTGATTAATTGATTACAATAATTAATTGCGGCGAAATTATTCATGGGATCGAAAAATACTATTAGACATTTTTTCTTAAATTCTCATTCTCTATCGGATGGCACTGAGCGTATGCGATACTTTTTTAACACCCTGTATATGTGGACAAAGATTGTACAAGAGAAAAAATATATGAACATATTTTATATATAATTATATATATATATTTATATTCGGCACAATTAAATATAAATTTTTTTTCTTGGAATATTTATTTGCGCGTGAGTATGCACAGCAATACATGATAATTTCTTTCAAGATTCATCCGGACAAACCAAATGAGAAACCTCGTCCGACTATGTTATCTTCGGAAGAACAGAAACGACCGCCGTGGGCACAAAAAGATCCTTTATTACCAGATACTTCTGTTATTATACAGAGCTCAGAACCAAAGCCGATACCTACCGAGCCGATAGTTCATCAAGTCCCGCATGTCATTGATAGATCAACGGGGCAACCTCTATTGGTCAATATTCAACCCAGTCAAGTAGCTAACGTCGTGATTCCTCAGGGTGGCACGCAAGCTCTGATTTTTGGAGACACTAATGAACCTCATATAAGTGGCCAATATTTTGATGATCCTTCACCTTATCCGGAACCTGAAGTTGGGCCAGGTTTCGTTGGTATTCAGAAAGTACGTATAGTAATTTTTAAATATTTGTATCTTTGTTCTACAGAGCTCAATTTTAACTATATATATTTAGGTCGAGGATTTAGTACAATATTCAAACGAGAAAGATCCAGCTGATTATATGGTTCCTCCGTCACCACCTACTAATTTCAAGCCTACTTCTTCAAAACCAGGCTTTTCCGGTCATTCGCACGCTGTCCTGTTGTCACCCGTGCGCGGAAGACCGCAAGAAGTGCCAGATGCGCCTGTAATACGACCCGATAAAAGACCATCAGAAGTTCACTTCATTAAACGTCCTGACGGATCCGGAACTTCCAGTCAGGGACACGTTCATACAGAAATTCTTGTCCATCACAAACCAGAGACAGTAAATATTCGACCGCAACCTGCTCCTCATTCTATCCATTCTCATGTGCATCAACCGCCAGTGCGTGGTTATTTCTCGAATAGTCAGAATCCGGTAGAATCAGTTCCACCGAGACGCGTAGAGGTCTCGACCGAAGCACCACATCGCTATATATTCCTTGGAAAACCAGATTCTGGAAACGAGATAGCATTAGGCACCAACTGGAAGCCCGACAAAAAACCAATCAGATTCGCGTTAAACAATCCGAGACCGAGACCGCGACCGATATTAAGACCGACGACTAATCATCCTCTGGATAGGCATGTCTTTATAGAACGACCGACTGGAGGATATCCTGCGATTAGGAAACCGACATATTCTGGACCACAGAGACCTCCGATAAATACGCAGCATACTTTTGCATTACCACATCGCCCGTCAATAAATTCTCAGTCCTATCAAGAAACTACTCGAATGCCGCCTAAACTGTTCACTCTTCAAAATGAAAATCATGAAAGACCGCCGCATATTTATTCAGATAAAGTACATAATATCGCAACGCCCAATTCACCAATTGAACAGAACGATAATGTGCCTACTGGAGCAATAGAATATCACAATCCTTTACATCCAAGTTCGATGTTCGATAACAAACATTCTCAAGCATCTACTACGAAAACACCAGAAGATCATTCTGAAAAATGGCAAATCGGAGGGACACCATTGGATACTGATTCTGACATCGGTGCCTCGGAATATATCAATTATCAGAATCATTATCATGTAAAAGGAAACAAGAGCCAGGAAAATGACAATCAAAATGAAAAGGATATGATAGATTCTACGTATTCTCAAAGTATCAATCAAACTTTAAAACCACAAGCTCCATACGGAACAGTTGGTTCCATGAACAAACCGCTGGAAATTGAGCAAGAACACGGAATAATTTATAAACACGAAATAAAACCATTGTTGCAAGGACCTTTTGGTATCGATATCTACAACACAAGACCTTACGAATTACCTATAGTACAGGGCAAGCCTTTCGGTGTTTATAACAGTTACACAGTGGATCAAGTCACTCCTTACGGTTACAAACGAAAAGAAAACAAGTCCGATTATGAAATAGTTCACGGTATACCCGCAGCTCATAATGAGAATATAAAACCGGTTAAGAAGATGCAAGATGGACAAGTCACAACATTAAATTCGCTCGAGCGCGACGATACTATTGATCTGAAACCACCAGATAGGCCAGGTAGACCGTATTCTAGACCGATTAGACCCGATTCAAGGCCCGTTCTATATCTCAAGCCGGAAATATTGACGAAACCTCCGATTAAATTGGAAGTCAGACCCGATTATACTACAAAACGTCCAGAAAATGTCAAACCAAACACCGCGGAAACTTTCATCAATCAGACATTAAATTATGGATTAAAATTAAATCACGAACTCCAGAATTGGAACGCAGATGTGCCTCCGAATATTGTAAAATCTCAGCAGAAGATATCGACAGGACATAATTCTCGAATTCCTGAGATTAAAACATTTGAGAATAAAAATGCCACTACACCTCGTCCGAGTACGATCGGGAATAAACGTCGGCCGGATCATGGAACGTACACAAGAATACATCCGGAATATCCTCATATTTTGACAAAACCGAAACCTCAAGTGCCACAACCGGTAATCATTTCGAGCGATACGACAGGATTGGAAACGCACGATCGTCCGAACATCAAGTTCTCCATGTCCGTCGAGGCTACGGGCGAGGAAGTGGACAGCAAGACGCAAACCGAAAGACCGCCAAGCATGCTAGTCACGAAGAATAATTTGCACAACAAAAACGACGAAACATTGAATACAGCGTATCAAACGAACTTTGCCACGTCGGATTCCCAGGATAAGCGGGACGAGGTCAAGACAAGGCCAGTTAATAACAAGGAAATGAATGTTCCCCACAGAAATATGATGCCACCACCTTTGAATACAGCAACCGAGCCGAATAAATCAAATAAAAACGAACAGGAGGGACTTAAACCCCCGCCGCTGCCGACGCCAGTGTCGGGCGATGTACTCGGATTGTCCCCGCCACCAGTAGCCATCACTACCACTAATATGCCGATAGAGGATAGATTCGCTTTAGTGACAACTAACGAATCGGGTCTGAAACCGCCCAAATATATACCTCTAAAAGAACCGACGACGATTGCACCGCCCCCACCTAGCACGAATATGGTTCCACCCAGTCCGAGACCGTCGCTCACAAGACCTTTCCTCGTAGAATTACTGTCGCAGGTACGATAAGATTATAAATGTATCGTATACTGAGTATTTTCAGTTTAAGATCAGAAAATATTTATTCTTATACAGGGTGACCCATTTTAATCTCCCCACCTAAATTTCTCGGAACCTAAGCAAGATAGAGAAAAATGTTTTAGACAAAAGTTGTATGGTTTCGAGGGGGACATAAGATGGTACCATTGGTTTGACCTTGAAGAGTCACATGAAGGTTACGTGAAAGTCATTTTGAATTTCTTAAATGGAACACTCTATATATTTTTACATATTCTTGTAGCTTATCTCGAGAGTTTTCCAAAACACTAATTAAGTACCTTTTTGTTAAGTACTTTTTGAGTTATAAGACTTGAAATCATTTCTTAATTTTACATAAACCATAAAATATCTAGTAAAATATTCATTTTTCGATTATCCTACCTTAATACTTTTATGTACAAAATAATGAGAGGAATCAATTGATGTAAAGAAAACATACAGTTGTTTTTAAGAAAAAATATGTAATTTGCAATTAACAATTACATATTTTTTCTTAAAAACAACTGTATGTTTTCTTTACATCAATTAATTCCTCTCATTATTTTGTACATAAAAGTATTAAGGTAAGATAATCGAAAAATAAATATTTTACAAGATATTTTATGGTTTATGTAAAATTAAGAAATGATTTCAAGCCTTATAATTCAAAAAGTGCTTAACAAAAAGATACTTAATTATAGTGTTTTGGAAAGCTCTCGAAATAATCTACAAGAATATGTAAAGAGGAAATGTAGGTTCCATTTAAGAAATTGAAGGTGACCCTCATGTGACCTTCAAATAACTCTTCAAGGTCAAACCAATGGTACCATCTTATGTCCCCCTCGAAACCATACAACTTTTGTCTAAAAGATTTTTCTTTATCTTGCTTAGGTTCCGAGAAATTTAGGTGGGAAGATTAAAATGCGTCACCCTGTATATTGTAAAATAAAATACAAAAATAACTTTTAATGTATCTTAGGATATGGTACCGCCACCACCGGTTTTAACAACGACAAGACCACTCGAGATCGCTACCGTACGACCAGCCGTTGCGGTTTCCGGTTCTATTCAAATAGCGACTGCTGTTGCCACGTCTCATATTCCGGTGGTTCAGGATATTGAATCAAAGATACCAATTATTCACGGCACTGTTGACCTCCCAGTCGTAATCGACGTTCCCGATATTCATCGATCCGCAGAAACACGGATGACCGAACACATTAGCGTTTACACCGTGCGACCTTTCGATACAAGACCCGTGTCTAGGTAATGTAAATTATACTTGACTTGAAATCTCAATTTCTATCACGAACGAAAATACAATAATTTATAATATTTGACTGTTACATTTTAGAAATTCCATTCAAACAACATCGACATTGCCTACGAATATGGTAATGCCAACAAAGCTAAGACCGCCTCAAATCAATTACATTCAGCCGAGCAGATCATCGACGACTCATCGCGATGTTCATCCGACGAGATCCCATATAGTGGATATCCCTCCAAATCCTGTTAAGCGACCTGAACATCCAATATTCTTGGAATCTAGCTACGAAAGCATCTTACCGTCAACGAGAGTGGAACCTACCGAGTCTTTAACATTCATTATAGGAACGGATCAAAAGAAGCAACAACATTCGACCGCATCGAACATCAAGACACAAAAACCGCATGCAACCGAATACAGCACAGTCAACAGAACAGCGAACGAAGAATCAACGATAATTGTTACCAGGGTCGATAGTTCGATCACTAAAGTAACTAGTACATTGATACCAATGCCAAATAATAAGACGCGTTCCGAAACAAGCGATTCAGCTACGCAATTCACAAAGAACATTGAGAAAACTACAACTAGTGTCATTGCCAAAGAAGAATCCAACGTGACTGTACGTACAAAGCCAAAGGAGGTATGAGCGTCTCGATATTTAAATGATATGCTTAGATATTTATATTTTTTGTTTTGTCTCCTAAAGAATTGTGTTAACTATGTGTGTTAACTAGGTGACACGATTCAAGACATCGACGGTAACGAGAACTAAGACATCAGTTCTGGGTTCACCACCAACAACGAGAACACTTCTGCTCACGCATACGATGACCACGACGACTGTGGAGACGGTGACAGAAACATTGCTGCGTCCAACAAGCGTTGTGTCCACGGTAACTTCGACGATCTTACAACCGATCGTCACAAGAATACCTTCTTCTTACGATAACGTGGATAATGACTCTATATTTGTCGTAATGAGCGATCAGAAACCACCCGCGCCTGGAGCGGAAGAGGTAGAAAATCCTGAAATAAATATACGTATAAAAATGTATACACATCTCACTTTTTAAGATGTGATGTGGATCAATATTTTTCTTAGCAAAAATATATAAAGTAATATTAATTAATTATATTAAAATGTATAACTAATTAGCTAAATTATAAATTGCAATTTATAGGCATGGACAGATATATCTCGCTTGAATTTCAGGTGGAAGCTGAATACGGAGAGGAAGTGTCTCGCGACGAACAGGATCCGGCAGGCAATGAAATTCACAGAGTATTGGCAGGCGGAGTACTAGGTGCGCCATCGGTGCCTCTTGCACCTGTCGCGAATCAATGTACACCGGAATGTAAATCGTCCAAGTCGGAAATTTGCGCCGAAATAGGAACAGAGATGAGATGCGTTTGTCGGCCAGGATTTGCGAGAATGTTTCCGGATCGGCCTTGCAAACGTAAATACTCATAGATGCATTACATAATACAACATTTATTTTTTTTTTATACCGATCATTTAATGTACTTACGTTAACAAGAATTTTTGAAACAATTTTTAGCTACTTACACATATACTTTACGCGTTGGCCTGGATCGCATTGGTCATGAATTCGTGGCATATGAAACCGCCTTAAATGATTCCGCATCGGCAACTTACAAACGTTTGGCGGTTCCGACGAAGGAAGCTCTAGACAGGACTTTAATGCAGAGTGACTTAAGAGACGTGTACAGAGGACTCAAAATCGCCGGATTCACTCCGGATCCAACAAAAGTCGAATTTCACGTGCAGCTTAGCGATAACGCTAATGAGACCAGATTGAAGGAAGTCCTACGGAAATATTTAATTGCAAGCAATTACAGTTTAGGTGGCACGGAAGTTTACGCTTCAAAGAATCTTGATTTGGTGAGTGTGAATCGCAATAAATATTTATACATAAAATACTAGAATGATGATTAAAATCCTTCTTTTTAACATGAATTTCCAATATTTTATTCTTGACTCTAATTTAGGTCGAGGCGATCGATTTTGATGAATGCGCTTCTAAGGAAAGTGGTCCACACCACGATTGTTCACTTCATGCGGCGTGCTTCAACTTACGAGGATCCTATCAATGCTCTTGTAGAGAAGGTTGGGCTGATCTGTCGGAAAATCCAGCATATCCCGGAAGAATATGCTCGCAAGCTCCATTGGGATGCGCTGGCTGCAGCAACAAAGGTCATTGCGTCACCAATTCTCTCGGTCAAGAAGTGTGCGAATGCTTCCCTTGGCACAGCGGCCAACGTTGTCAAGTTAATCTCAAAGGTGAAGCGTCTATGAAGCCATTTTTGGCACGATTTTAAAATATAATCGAGCTAGCATAAAGTACATGATTGACTCTCCCAAATAATTAAACGTTTCTATACGTTGTTGACAGTTTTGTTGATAGCTCTGGTGACGACTGGAGCGATTCTGTTGGGTCTCCTAGCAATTTGTCTGGGAATGACGTGCTTCCGGCACCCAGGGCGCGATCGAAAGACCGGCGACAGACGAGCAATGATTCCCGGAACAGGTGGCGATACAAGTAGCGAGGGTAGCGTGACTGACTTGGCCATACCGCATCATGTACCGCATATTTTACCACCGCCGCCGCAAATGATAGCGCCATTGCCGCCAAATAAGCGACCAGTTCGTAAGATTAGCGCAAAGCCTCGTCAACCGCCCAGAAAAGCTACCATGATACCTGCAGCTGGTATGTTCTATTTTATTTTAAATAATTTCTTTCACACTTTTCAATTAAATAATATATTTAATTGTAAAGATAACACAGGCCGACAAAATTTAGACCCAGGAACCAGAATATACTTTTTCTAAGATTTTTGACGTACTGAATTCGAATCCAAGGTCAGAATTTCTCTAGTGGCTCCGGTTTTCGAGATATTCTAACCTAAAAGTGCCCAAATCACGGTTTTTGAGATATTAGAGGTTATGTTACATCGCAAAGTAATTTTTTTTTATAAAACCATTAATGGGGTCCGAAGTACTACTCTTCTTCTTTAAAAAACATTTTGATTTGTCCGGATATCTTTTTTTATCTTTGAGAAATCGTATGTTCAAATTAAGTAGTTCGACTTATTTCTCGATATTTGGAAAATGATTGATTGTTTATCAATTAGTTTGTAACAAAACTTATTTTAATATACCGAATTACTATTCCGGATGAGCTTGTTCCCGTAGAATCCGATTGAATCATTTACTTCTCAAAAAACATTATTTTTGCAATAGTTTGTTTAAACAAATTGTTTAAACAAATTGTTTAGACAAATTAAATTTGCAAAACTAATGTCAAATTTCAAATCAGCGTGCATCAAAACCCTTTAAAATGTATATTTCGTGTACATACATTATATTGTACTTACCTGATGCTATTCAATTTTCGAATATCAAAAATGTCAAACTACTTAATTTGAACATTCAATTTCTCAAAGATAAAAAAAGATATCCGGACAAATCAAAATGTTTTTTAAAGAGGAAGAGTAGTTCTTTCGGATCCCATTAATGGTTTTATGAAAAAAAATTACCTTGCGATGTAACATAACCTCAAAATATCTCGAAAAACCGTGATTTGGGCACTTTTAGGTTAGAATATCTCGAAAACCGGAGTCACCAGAGAAATTCTGACCGGATTCGAACTCAGCGCGTCGAAAACCTTCGGAAAAGTATATTCTGGGTCTGAGGTTTGACCAAATTTTGTTGGCCTGTGTAATTTGTATTAAAAAAATCGAATCATTCGATCTAATAATTTTTTGCTCCTGCAGCAATACCAATGAATGACGATCAGCGCGATCGCTCTTTGACGGTAATGATACCGCGCGCTAAATACCGATCGGCACCGCAGTCGCCGCAAAATTACAAGGTTGGCATGAGCACATTCGCCACCGAGGAACACAAACTCATAAATTACCTCGACAATGGTGCGAACTGTCCGGGAAATAGAAAACCAAGTATATCCAGCATGAAGGATTGCAAGGAGGCCGATCTGCAGGGAACAAGAAATCCGGTGACGCCCACAGGCGCTCTCGTCAGTGCCGGTTTTCAGGTACTGGTTCAGTTTTTTGATCGCTTCGAGTACGCCAGCGAGTACAAGTATAATGGGATTTTAATTGTCGATAGGTATCAGCGACGGTGACCCGTACGGTGGACGCTGAATCCACCTTGGCACGTTCCTGCGGAGAAACGACTGTAGAACCAGCGACTAAGGTATTGAGGAGCGCGGACCTTCAAGTCGACCTCGACTCAACTCTAGCGCGTTCGTGCGGCGAGACAACCATCCAGGCTCCAACCAAGCTCCTTAGATTGGATCTGGGCGAAGCTGGTTCGACCCTGGCGAGATCTTGCGGCGAAACGACGATCCAGCCGTCGACAAAAGTCGCCGCCGCGCGAAGGAACAGCGTCAAGGACTCTAGAGATAACAGGGATACCAGAGACAGCGCCAGCGAAGGTCACACCATGGCTGAGCGAGACTTAGGCAGCACCCTGCGACTTCCGGCGCAGCATCCGCCGTTGTACAGTCCAGATAGGGTAAGATCATTCATACCTTTATCGAAACTACTTTAATTGGATTATGAACTATCAAGATGTGATTTTTCATTTAAAGTATCACCGATATTGTTAATCGATTCTTTTTACAGACTAGCGATCGGGAGTCCAACTTTGATTCGCTGTAGACGTTTTCAAACGAGAACGAGTCACGATGTGAAGATTGATCGCGAACAGAGCCGCTGGACGGCGTTCTTTGTAAATTTATTAATCATCCTTTATCGAAATTTGCCATTATTGAAAGTGCGAAGGATATATGTATCCGTAACTTCTTCTAATTTATATATTATATTGCGCTCGCTACACCAATTCTATCTTATTTTTTACAGTTACGGTATCATAGAAATCTACTTATGTAAGTCTAGGTACACATTTATTTATTTTATATTTTTATTTACTTGTAATAATTTGATATTATATATATTGATACAAAAAATTCAAAATTAATGAGTAATTCTCATTAATCTTTTGAAATTACAACTTGATCGACGAATGCGTCTTAAATGAAAATCTTGCGCGTAACTTTGCAAAGATGAAAGATGAGCACACGTGACTCAACCCCGTGCCAAAATACAACCAATGAAATAAGGAAGGCTCCTCGAAGAAGTTCCTTCTTGTCTTCCTCTTAAATGTCGTTTTCGAAATCGAGCAACTCGTCGCTGCAGACGATTGAAATATTTTATTTCACCAGAATTTATCGCATTATACATATGTATAATAATTCGACTGATTGGTAGGCTTCAAGTCAAGCCATTAAAAACGTTGAACATATCGCCAAAGCTTTTATCGAAATATACAAGTAATATTAATTAAAGCTGGAGAAAATAATATTTCGATCGACGCAGCTTACCGTGTGTCAAGCATGGTGCAAAGTGTCATAAATAATGGATGGCGCCAAGCCGTCGTGCAAACAGCACGACGAGAAAGCTCGATGTGTACATTAAACACGAAAGGAGAATATTTTTTTTTTATTATTGTTGTTATTGTTTGTTTGTTTAGTCTATTCTCCGACGAAACGTGTTATGTTGCCCGGCTTCGTTACAAGGCTCTTTTTCGGAACGATTTAAGTTCGCGATCGAGAAAAGGCATCGCTCGAATGTAAATTATCTATGTAATACTATTAACATATATGCTGAATATTTTTTGATACCTCCCCTCCTTTTATAATTATATATTTATATCAAATATAAATGTTATAATTTTAATGTATATTTATATCAAATATAAATGTTATAATTTTGTGCATATCCAACATCAGGAGCAATATTGGCGAACATAAATCCAGCACCTCAAGAAATATGTAAATTAAGAGAGCAGCATTTTAGTGTTTTACATTCGAGAAAAACGTGCTATTATTTCGGTTCGAAGTCGAGGGACGAAGCCGCGGCAACGTCGTTGTATGAAACTCGAATGAGACGCATTACGATGTATTTACCGTTAGCTCAATAGAGATGATAGCGTAAGCAAAAAAGTGTAACGAAAGACAGGTGTATCATGCGCGCGTCACGATTTACCCGTAAAAATCCACGTTTCGTCGAAAAAGATTGTCCCGTACGTGGCGAATTAAATTCTGCCGATTTAAGAAACGAAAAATGACGATGCTCGTATCTTAAGTTTTGTTACTAACTTTGTCCCCCCCTCTCTCTTTCTACAATCCAAATAAAACTTCCATTTATACGTACACATATACATATACATAGAGATATTATATACGTATATATATAGATACATTATCCTGTCTGTTGTACATAAACTCTCCTCCGAAGCCTCTTCTACATAATGCTATCGTAATTTTGTATACTTAGCGCATGTACACTTATACGTACTTAAATAAAAGTCAATAATATAATGGCATGTCTTAAAAACGTACCTGTCTGACATACTCAAGAAATTATAATCAACTTAAAGTACTTAAGTTGACTCGATAACAATATTTTTTTTTGCACGCAAGTTATATTATCCGCATTATGCATTATTATTGTAACTGCGAAATCTATCACTAAGATTTCACTGCGCAAATTATTTCTTAACCCCGATCTTCCTTCTAACTTTCAATTATCCGTATAAACTTTTCAGTTTCGTAATAATTGTAACGTTTAGAATGCTCTAAATATAACACTAAATTTTTTCAAGTTTATTTGCAAAATGGAGTTAGAATTATTTTGAAAAATATCACTAACGAGAAGGACGAGCTCAAAAAAAAAAAAATAGATTATGCAAGGAAAATATACGCCAGAGTAAACAGAATGATAAATAGAAACAAAGAAATAATGAGATAAAAAATGATTAAGCAAAAAAATGCTATGTTACGGATTAATCTATAATCATTGTAGAAACTATCATTTTTTACTATATAATAGGCATACTCGATATAAGCTTCTAAAACATTTTTATTAAAACATTTTATGTGTAAATCCGCTATAAATATAATATATATATATATATATATATATATATGTACTAATTATTTATTCTTGTAATAAATTTTTAACGTGTTGTACATAAGTTCTGATATCTCAACCCATTTACCCTGCTCGTCGATGGCATAACGTATTCGCGGCTCATCGTAAAATCGTAAACAGCGATTTGATTAATTTCCAATCAGCGGGTTTATTGTTTCGCAAATTCGATTATGTGTGCTCAACATTTATGAAAGCAATTTCGGACGCGGTCCTTCGCGGGGTTCGCTGTCGTTGGCAGCGACATATATACGAGCCGACGATTTCTTGCCGGAGAGAAAAAGCGGCGACGTGCGCCGGTCCATGTTTCGCGATTCGTCGCGGGCCGCGACTAAAACACGAGCCTAATCCACAAAACAAACCGATCCTCAGAGAGTCCCACTCGAGACGCGATGAAAGAAACGACTTATTTAACAGCTTTTATTAAAATTTCGCATAATCGTGAGGACAATTGGCGATTTTCGATTTCTTTTTAGCGCGGCAAAATATAAAAATATATACGACATTTCAAGTTTTGACAGAATACTCTCTAAAAGTGAATCAGTGTATTATCACTGAAAAACAGTAAATAGTCACTGATTACAGCAGTTATAAGTACAGTACTGTAAATCAGTGATATTTTATTGAAAGAATCAGTTAATAATTTTGACTGTTTCAATCAGTAATATTTCTCAATATCAGTAATATTTCCTTCGTTATTGTCAGTAATATTTAACTATAATTCATCTCTCTATCTATTTCATATAAAATTAAAAATTTTATTCATATTTACTAAATATTTATTATATTAAAAATTTTATTTTATTTATATTACATGCATATTGGACTTGTTTTTTTAAATAGATAACAAACGAATAATTTTCATTAAGTCGTCAGACATTTATTTGTCCGACTTATAAAGTTTGATTTAATATCTGAAGCCTCTTTATTGAGCTTGTATCAGAAATTAAATCAAAGTAATATTTCTAATTTTAAATGTCGCTCTTTGCAAACTTTATATAATTCTTATAACTAAAATTAAATACGAGAGAGATAGCGATTGTAGCAGTAAATGAACGAACTAGCGATTACTGGTTTTACAGTAAAATTTACTGATTTTATAGTGAATTTTATTTTAACCGACCATAATCAGTGAGATATAAGATAAAATAACAAAAAAATAAGTGTTTCCACTGAAGATCAGTAAAATACTCACTGATTCTCAGTGAAATCTTATTTTACTGTTTAGATTAGTGATATTTTCACTGATTTACTTTTAGAGAGTACGTTGCCGTATGATTAATGTCAACGGCAATCTATACAACGCATTGCAAGCTTATAATTTTATTAAGAAAATTGAACGCGCGAGAAAAAAAAAGTCATACGTACGTTATTAAACCAATTAAACCAACCGCACGAAACGTTATACAGAAGAGTTGACTCGACAAAAAACCACGAGCACAACACTTAAATGACTTTATTTACGCCGCAGGTCCTTATTAGGGTTCCTCCATGCGTGGTAACCGCGACAGCAATTTAAATCGCATTGACCGTTCTCTTGCTTAACCATTTATTTTTACAGGCCAACATGCAGTATTTGCAAAGTTTCTTATGTTTCTTTATTATATAACAAGAATTATATACATGCATATGATATTATATATTTTACATGTTAATTTAAAAAAAAAAGTTAAGAGAAATTGCAATTTGATTCAAAATGTGTTGGAATGTTAAATAATCGGATATATGTTTCTTTTTATTTATTACTCACATTATTTAAAACATATATTTATTTAAAAAAAATATTATACTTATTTAGTTAATATTTTGTATCTATTTTCAATCTCCTTTTTCTTCACATTTATGGATTTTGATAGATTTTATTTATATAACAATTGTATTGTATTGAGTTCTTATTTTGCAATAAACAAATAATTTCTTACATAAAAATTTAATTTAAGAGGGTAACTTTCGGCAAAATTGTAAATAGTTTCAAAATAAGCTAATCTGATTGTTTAAAATATCAAAGTAAATGTTAAATTAAACATTAAGATCAAAAGTAACAGAAAAAATTTTAAGTCAGAAAAATATACTGGGTGTGTATAAAAATTTAAATCGTGCTTTACTATAATAAATGAAGTAATCTGCATATTGTATTTCTATTATTTTTATATTACATTTATCTATCAAAATAAATGAAATATTGAATAAATTCCCTGACAAAATATTACAGTAATAGACGTCGAAAAATGATAAAGATGTCTCCCCCCTTCGAGTTGCATGTCTTCTGATATTTTAAAAACCGGTGTGTTCAAATACTCAGATCGCTAAGAAATTAAGAGATCCGGTTTGTGGAGGATTAAAAACAGATGTATATTTCGGTAGGTTCAGTCGCGCGCGCATTCGCACGAATACGAAATTGACAAAGTGCGTGTGCCGGCCCGAAAATGGAAACATGTCGTAAGAGTGAGTCGTCAGAGCCCGCGCGTCAATTCCGAAAGGAATCGGAAATTTTATGCCCACCTCCTCCCGACAATATTTTTATGCCGTTCCGTCGCAACCCTTTGAAAGCAGGTGACGTATACGCGAGCGTGCGCGCAGAAAAAGCACGTTTGGGGAGAAACGGTGGGGGTAAAGTTTTCGTTGGCGTGCGCGCACTACTACCATTCGGATCGTTACTCCTCTCTTCGAGACCCTTCACCCCGTCTCTCTCTTTACCATCGCCACTTTTGCCAAGTCGACGTTTGGATAAAGGGACTTTCTCTGTCGGTCAGCAGGGAAAGGGGGGTGGGGTGGGGTGGAAAGGGAGCTCGGAGTGACGCCCCCATAGACGTGAGTCCTACGTTGGTGGGGATGAATGTCCCATCTTCCTTGCACCTATCCCTCTACACGTTCTTTCACCTTTGTTATTAACCAGAGTTTGCCTTCCCTCTCTTTCTCTCCTCCTCTCTATTTACCGTTTCTTTCTATCTCTCTATCTGGTACCGCCGGCTGTTGGCAGCGCGGAAGGGATCCAGGGTGAGGGGAAAGCCGGCCGTGAAATTAAAACATGATGAGGGGTCTAGATTGAGATGCGAGGGAGAGAGACGCGGTGAAGGAGCAAAAAAGAAGGAACGGCGAGGAAGACGGAGGCAGAGCGACACGCGAAGACGGAGACGGCGCTAATGCCAGGGACGCATCTGCGAGCGGGACATAAATGAGGATCGATTTTGTGGGTGACGATCGCTATAGTTCTCGTACGCGCACGTCACACTTCGACAGATAAACGATTTTTGTTTATCATTATTTTTTTTCAGAAATATGCTCTAGCCATCAAACATTAAATCCGGTTTTCCACTTGAAATATATGTGGAATATATTACCATAAAAATGATATTGTAAATCAATATTTTGCTTGAATCAAGGACATAACGTGATATTTAGGACCTAACCTAACCATATTTTTTCTTATATTTATGTCAACTAAACATCCTTTGCTCGAAGCAAAATACGATATTAAATTCCACAACACGTTCGTGGATTTATCGATTCGTCGATTTTATTCTAGATTGCACGAAAAGTCGATCACAATGTCGTTATATCGAACGATCGCGCGAACGGTGTCCCTTTTACGCATCGCATGCCGTGGAATAAATTGTCCAGAATTTTCTAAGATCGGCTCGCTTTGTAGGATTAGCCGAGCGCGACGGACTACCAGCTACAAATCACCGGGTACCAGTCGCCAGTTACCACCTATCACGTTGCCGTACGAACAGATATATACGTGTCTGTGGAATTATTACGATTCAGTCCCCCGTAAAGCTACATCGACGCGAACGAACCTTTGAGGCGGTCAACCACTTCATTGTACTGCTCCCCTATGATGGTCGTATAGTTTGTAAACCAGGCGTGATTGCTCATCAACTATTTATAACGATCCTCTTCATCTACCATCTCGCATTATATTCGCATTGCATTTATCAATTCTGTATCCAGCTTTTCGTAGAATCTTAGCAAATTAATGTTAAATGTACCAACATGTCAATATTTCTGTTAAATATTGCGTAAAACAATTTTTAGGTAAGCGGAGCAAGTAATTTAGAATAATGCTACTATTTTAAATATACAGGGTGTCCCACCCCAAATAACTTTTTTATTTTTAATTTTAGAAAAAGATGTTTCAGACAAAAGTTGTATGGTTTCAAAGGGGACATAAGGTAGTATCATTAGTTTGACCTTGAGGAGTCACATGAAGGTTACGTGAAGGTCATTTTGAATTTCTTAAATGGAACACCCTATATATTTTTACATATTCTTGTAGCTTATCTCGAGAGCTTTCCAAAACACTATAAATAAACATTTTTTCATCAAGTACTTTTCGAGTTATGAGGCTTGAAATCATTTCTTAATTTTACATAAACTGTAAAATATCTTGTAAAATATTCATTTTTCGATTACCTTACCTTAATACTTTTATGTACAAAATAATAAAAGAAATTAATTGGTGTAAAGAAAACACATAGTTGTTTCAAAGAAAAAATATGTAATTGTTAATTGCAAATTACATATTTTTTCTTAAAAACTCGAAAAGTTCTTGATGAAAAAATGTTTATTTATAGTGGTTTGGAAAGCTCTTGAGATAAGCTATAAGAATGTGCAAAAATATATAGGGTATTCCATTTAAGAAATTCAAAATGACCTTCGCGTAACCTTTATGTGATTCTTCAAGGTCAAACTAATGACACCACCTTATGTCCCCCTTAAAACCATACAACTTTTGTCTGAAACATCTTTTTCTAAAATTAAAAATAAGAAAGTTATTTGGGGTGGGACATTAAAATGGGATAACCTGTATAAATAACTTTATTTATATAATATTAGTATTTATATATAAATATAAATTTTTATCGTTATTTGTAACGTTTATATTTATTTATATATATAAATACTATTATAAATAAAAGATTTGGCTTAAAATTTGACTGAATAGTAATAAA